CAGGCATGAAGAAAAGTGACCTCAGGGCTGCTTTTCTTTTGGGTCAGCTGAGTATTCCTAAAGCTGCAAGCCCTCAGATTTCAGGAACTGAAGAGGACAAAGGGGATGGACAGCAAAAAACCCTTTCTGGCTGATGAACACCCTAACTCTGCTGACTCCAGCTGGCTGTGATGGCTTGAACTACTCTCTGGCCTCCTTCAGACACCAGAAACTCTGCTTTCAGAAGTTTAGGTCCAGCAAGACCAAGTTTTGGTGACTTTCAGTGGAAAAGAAGGCTCTTAATTAAGAATAAATTTAAGTTTAATTGGGTGACCAGCAAAATGCAGGAGCTAAGGCAGAATGGAGCAATTAAAGTGAAAAAATGTGATTTCAGGCTCCTAAATGCTGGGAAACATTTGTAAGACAAACAGGAGGTGAGAGAGCTCTGTGAGTCTCGGGAGCTGCTTTCATGCAGCAACCAGACGTCGAGCCCAGACTGTGTCCCTGCAGCAGCACCAGACACTACACACTTCAATGAATCAGGAGAAGTGAGATGATCCCAGAGAGGAACTTTAAATTTTCTTGTGTGTTTGGTGTTTTTTCCCTCAGAATCCCCACCCTTCCCAGCCCAGTCCGATTTTTCCAGACTCCTTAAAAAAAAAAAATTAAATTATATATATATATATATATATATATATATAAATCTGTAGCTCAGAAGCAGAAGTAAACTTTAGGCAGGGGATAAACAATGTGCTCAGCCACAATGAAACTCAAGGCAAAGTCTGTCTGCTCTGTTCATAGCGCTGGTTGGAAAACCAGAAAGCTCCCAATTAACTTTCCTGAAAGATTTTTCTTTGGGAGTAATTAATAAGTGCTTTGCAGTTTGACTCGCGTTATTAATTGGATTGGGGGGAGTTAAAAGCGCAAACGGTCTATATGATTTTTTTCTGGGGTCTGTAAACGAAGCTAACAGATGGAACTGACCAGTAACGTGCATCTGGCAAGCCGGGTTTCTTATAAACTTTCCTCCAAACAAAACCATTTTGGTGGCTTTGTTGTTGTTTGAAACGAAGTTGGGCTCCGCGCTGGCTGGGAGCGTGGCGGTGCGCTCGTCTGGGCTGCGTGTGCGTGGGAAGGGAGGATGGAGGGGGAAGGGGTCGGGACGGGGAAAGATCTCTGGCAAAACTGATCTCCTTCAGCGGGGTGATCTCCTGGCAGCTCGGGCAGCGAGCTGGGAAGGCGCCGGCCCTTGCGCAGCGCGCGTCCTCCCCTCGGCTCTCGGAGCGGGGCGATCCCCGGACCGCGGCACCCACGGCGCAGAACAGGAGGGAATGTGTCCCCACATCCCTCTCTCACACCCTTGGTTTCCTGGAAATAAGATGAATGAGTGCGTAAAGGAGCAAGTGTCTTGCGGGGTGACTCGCCGGGGAGCGCGGCCGCCCTGCAGTGCCCGGGTCACGGCGCGCTCCGCGCTGCCGCCGCCTCGCTCGCCCTGGTCCTGTCCCCTCGCCGTCTGTGCCCCGTTCATGCCCTGAGCCGGGCTTGCTCGGCCACCTCGAGGAAAACTTTTCCTCATCCCTTCTCAAAACAAAACCAAACCACAGAGATGGGACTGAAGTGGCACAGCGCAAATAGTCAGAGTAAACAGAGATGCGGAGTGCTCTGCCATGAATGTTTGGGAGGGTGCTTGTCTGACTTCTCGAAGGGAAGGAATGCCTCTCCTGCCTTTCCCTCCTTTAGGAAGGTATGCTCAAGGTGTGTTAACTTTTTTTGTCAGGTCTAAGCCTTCCTCTTCAAGGCTGATGTGGCTGAATCCACTGCGTTCTCCACACTCCAAAGAGGTGTTGGAAAGGGCAAAGTTTGTTCGCATCATAAGGGTGGGTTTTGTCCTGTGGCATTTTTCAATTCTCTCAAGTATCAAAATCTTGAGAAGATCAAACAAAATCTGAACTTGGAGAAAATTCTGGATTTTTTTTAATAATATATTGGGGAGAAATATTTGTCTTCCTTCCTTCCTTCCTTCCTTCCTTCCTTCCTTCCTTCCTTCCTTCCTTCCTTCCTTCCTTCCTTCCTTCCTTCCTTCCTTCCTTCCTTCCTTCCTTCCTTCCTTCCTTCCTTCCCCGCTAGGCCGGGCGGGGCGGGGGGCTCGGGTGGAGCCCCGCTCCCCAGCAGCGCTCTGGAGAGGTGTGATGTGTTCCCGCTCCACACACCCTCCCGCCGGGATACCCGCACTTTGCCATCTCAGACAATGCATTTCCATTCCAGTCGTGTGCCTTTGTCCATTTGTAGGAAGAAAAGAGGGCTGAGTGACAGCTCCTGTTAGCCTGCATGAACAGATACCAATAAACCCTCCCAAAACCTGGACCTTAAAAAAAATAAATAAATAAAAAGGAAAGAGCAAGGCAGGGAGCCACATGCCTCTTTGCCTCCGGCTTATTATTAAGACACCTTCGCAGCTTAAACGCTTAAACGCGACCCAAATTAAATGGCAATTAAAAGCAAGTTACACCCTCTCCTATCTCCAGGCTTATCTCGGGTGGAAGCTAGCCATCAGCAGAGCCTCCCCGTCGGGAAATGCCATTTGGGCTGGCATCTTCGCGGTGGGTGTGTGAGTCCCCCCCGGCCACCCCGAGCTCGCCCGGCAGCGGGCGGCCCCCCCGGGCGCTCCCCGGGCGGAGCCCGCAGTCACTGCGGGGCTGGGGAGCCGCTACCTGGGGGCACAGGAACAGGGGGGCGCCGAGCAGGCAGACAGGACTCATTCCCCGAGTGGCAGCTCCTCGGACCGGTGTCACTAAATAAATAAATCACGTACCCCTTCAGCTTTGCCACCCAGGGCTACGCAGCCTCCGTGCGTTCCCATCTCCAAAATATATCGGCACTTGGAAATGTCGAACGAGCTGTCAGTGGTCTTTAGCTCTTACGTCCCCTTCCCTATTTTTCTTTCGCCTGTTACAGATGTAATTCCGTAGATCTATATGTATTTTATGTATAATTCCATAATATCATATGTCACTGCAGTGATACTTTGTGGTCTCACCCTAGTTTTATGTTTGAAAATGCTATTTAAAGAAGCCTGTAAGATAACATATTAGGCAGCTTTAAAAGCAGGTTGGAGTGTGGGGTGGACTTAAATTCGATGTAAATGAAAGGGTAAAAAAAAAAAAAAATACAAACCCCAACCAAAACAAACCACATAGTTTTCATTTAGGAAAAAAATACACTTAAACAGACACACATACAAATGTGCAATCTTAGATTTTGGTCAGTATTTAGAAGCAGTATAATCAACAGGAAGGAGCACTTACCTATTGAAAAGGATGGTTTAATAATATATATTTGTATATATTAGCTTTATGTCTTCCCAATAAAATGTACACAAAATACCCCCTTCGATCAGATTAGTTCCCATATTAGCCTGGGTAAGAAAAAGCATTCTAAAGAGTGGAGGAAAAATTGTATAAAAATGTTGAAAGAACCTACAGTTCCTTATTAGGCGAAGATACAATATTTATTCCTTGTCTCCTGGGATGAAGCTCCTCTATCTATTGTCCTCCCAGTTCTCAGTGCTGATGCTTAATTTTCAAAACTTCTATATTACCAAGGGACCTACGACATCAGCCAAAGAAATACCCAGCAAGTACAAAATCTGATCCAGGGAGCAGCTTTTGTGCAGAGGGAAAATTTTGTTCCTACAGGTTTTTAAGGAGGTGCATGGAAAAGCGAGAGATCTGATCTATGCAGATACATTGCAAATTCTCTCTGTCTGTAGAGATTTTTTCTAAAAAAAATTGGGGAAATACATGAACTTTGGATTTTTCAATTTTTTTCCTTTTTTTTTTTTTTTTTTTTTTTTTTTTGGAGGGGGGGTTTTTTCCCAGGGGGGGGGTTTTTCTTTTTTTTTTTTTTTTTTTTTTTTAATTTGGAGAGGGGAGTTTTATCCAGAGTTGGGGGTTTTTTCCTCTTCTTTTTTTTTTTTTTTTTTTTTAATTGTGGGAGGGGGGTTTTATCCGAGGTTTGGGGGTTTTTCCTTTTTTTTTTTTTTTTTTTTTCGGAGAACCAAAAAATGTCAACTACCTTTCCAGGTCTCGTCCACGATGCAGAGGTATTTTGTGTGTGTGAGTGTGTGTGTGTGTGTGTGTGCGTGCGCGCGTGTGTGTGGATGTGTGTGTGCATCTGTGTGTGTGTATGTGCCTGTGTGGTTGTTTCCATTTTTTTAAAATCCATATTGGACCGTTACGTTTAATTATAATCCGGCTTCAGAGATAACTTAAAGAAGTATAGAGAGAAAATTCGTTATGACATCTGTCGCCAGCAAGGGCAACTCATTACCACGTTAAAACCGTTGCCAGAACGAAAATCAGAATAATACCCCTAATAATATAATGAAGTGGAGAGAAATCACCACCAGCTCGCCAGGAATGGGGAGTTCTCGCTAAAAAAGCAGGACTCTCCTTTCTTTCGAAACGCAGGGAAAAGAGGGGGGGAATTTTGGATCTGATTCGTTATTTTAAAAAGAAAGAAAAATAGGGGTTCAAAAAAAAAAAAAAAGAAGGGAAGGAAGGAAGGAAGAAAGAAAGGAAGGCAAGCAGGCGGCAAAGCTTTCTCAATGTGTAACGCTGTAACATAGGGACGGGACTTGTGTGTATTCTCGGTAGTTTCCTCTGTTTGATGACTTTTTTTTTTGTGTCAGCCCCAGATATTACAGCTGTGATCAGGAGGTGGATGGATAGATGGATAGATAGATGAATGAATAGATGGATAGATAGATAGATAGATAGATAGATAGATAGATAGATAGATAGATAGATAGTTTTTATTTCAGTGCGTGGATTCCTTTCACTTGACAGTATTAAGGACAGGCTGGGCTGTTTATGATTTTTTGAACAGACCTTTATGGCACCAGCCCAAGGTAGGAAAGGATCTTTTGTTGCTGGGGTTGCTGCTTGCAGGCTTAGACGCTTCTGCAGGGGGAGAAGCTATGCAGGACAGCGTGCTTGGAAGAACCGTACCGGGGGTTTTCAATGACAAACCTCCAGTTTTGGGGTCTTCTTTTCACTTCTTCCTTTCAGATACGTCATGACGGATCAAACAGTTACCGTTTGATGCAGCTTGGATGCCTGGAGTCTGTGGCCAACTCGACCGTCGCCTATTCCTCCTCATCTCCTCTCACTTACTCTACCACGGGCACCGAGTTCGCCTCCCCGTACTTCTCCACTAACCACCAGTACACCCCACTGCACCACCAGTCCTTCCACTACGAGTTCCAACACAGCCACCCGGCAGTCAACCCCGACGCTTACTCCTTGAACTCTCTCCACCACTCCCAGCAATATTACCAGCAGATCCACCATGGAGAACCCACTGATTTTATCAACCTGCACAATGCGCGGGCACTCAAGTCCTCCTGCTTGGACGAGCAGAGGAGAGAGCTGGGGTGCTTAGATGCTTACCGCCGCCACGACCTGTCTCTTATGAGCCATGGATCCCAATATGGGATGCATCCAGATCAAAGACTCCTGCCAGGACCAAGCCTCGGGCTTGCAGCCTCGGGAGCAGACGATTTGCAGGTAAATAGCATGCGATCTCCTTTCGAGGTACCTACCCCTCCCCTCCCCCTGTCCTGGACCCCCCCACCACCCCCACCCCCATTTTCCTCTGCTCGGTAGCGCTCATACAAAGGAGGGAAGATTCATCCCAAACCCGATCCAGCGCCCGTCCCTTCCAGATTAGTAGCAGCAAGAAAAAAATGTGGAAGGGGAAAGAAAAAAAAAATCAACAGAACTAGTGGTCTTCTTTGGCCAAACAAACAAATTAAACAAAACCAACCTCGCGCCTGCCTTTGCCGCGTGGGTTGTGTCTCTGTGCTGGCTGAAACCGTGGGGGTCCCCCGGAGATCTGGGGGTGAATGTGCGTGTGCCAGCCCTTACCCAGTCACACAGAACCCAAATCAAACCAGAACAAACCCATCTTCTTGCTTTTCCTAAACTTTTCCTCTCTTTCGGCGCAAGGAGCGCTTTGCAGCGATAGAGCAGGCAAGTGATTTAAGGAAGGCATGGAGGAGGAAAAGAGAAAAAAGACAGAGCAGGAAATAAATCTCCTTTCCGACAGACCTACAAAGGCAAACCTTCCGAGATATGAGGGAGGAAAGAGATAAACGGGAGAAAATGTTCGTCAGAAAAAAGTCAGAATGATAAAAATACCTCGCTTTATCCGATCTAGGTGTTAACAGGGTGAGAGATAAAGTAGGTAAAGCTAAATTCATCTGTCTATCTATCTAATCATTCATCCACTCCACCCTAACCGGCACCTGCACCCATCTAAAAAATTTTATTTCTGTGTATCAAAAGCTCAGCTTTTTCCGCTCAGAAATCCTTTCCCGCGCGCTAAAAATTCACCTCCGCCAAACTGAGCCGGTTGCTTAAATGAAATTGGTTTCCAAAATTGCAAAGAACGTCATCCTGTATCTAACCTCCATTCCGAAATGTGCCCCAAATCAAAAAGCAAACCTTCCTTCCCTCGACAAGCTGAGGAACTGAGGGCTTCCCCAACAGCAGCGTGAGACAAACGGGACCGTATTTACTGTACTCACTTTTCCCCCACACTTCGCTCCCTGGCATACAAAGCTCATCGTGGTGGACTTTCCAAAAAGATGTAGTGGTCAAGGGCTTGGGGGGGAAAAAAATCAATCCGAAATTTGTAAAATGAAGGTTTATTTTCTTTTCTTAAAATCAAAGCACGGAAAATAATCCAAACAATCTATCTATATCAGGGAAAATAAATATTTTTGCCCATTTTTTGTTTCTAGGAGGAAAATAAACCCACCAACAAATAATGTTATCTTTTATACCTCAGATGAGTAAAACCTAGCTATTTAAACCTACTTTTCTCTACTAAAATTCACCATATAATTTTGTCCTCTTTGGCCATTTTTTTGTTTACATTTTTCACAAGGATCTCCTTATGTTACACCCTTCCAAAAAAAAAAAAAAAATCTGCCATTCACAGCTCAACCCCAACTAAAACCTATTTACTCCTTTTTATAACCACGTCTGCTGCTGATTTTTTTGTATCTGTACAAATTTTTTTTCTTTGGCAGGCACAAAGCCTTGTATTTTTCAAAAGAGGGGATTAGGAACGTTTGCAAGACAGCAGACAATGCCTAAGTCCCGGGCAAAAAAGCACCATAGTTTATCCAATTTTCGACTTAGTGCCATTCAACTGGTCATTTATGCAATGTCATCCGACCAAACAACATGTTTCCCTTCTAAAAGGAAAAAAAAAAAAAAAAAAAAAAAAAAAGGAAAAAAAAAATGTTGGTTAAGCTGCTAGAGGCACAGCCTCTTTTTATTTATTTAAGGAAGAAGAAAATCAACAGCTTTCCTTTGGAAAATATTAATTTTTCGATCACAAGTTATTATCAAATAAAATTCTTAGGTATTTGTACTTAATCTCTTCTTTATTTTTTCCTCCTCCCTCTTTTTCTGAACACAAGAGGGAGTGTACAGAGGTATCAAAAGCCTGAGTGGTGAGAAGTTGAAAATATTAGTATTTGTCGTTAGGACTTGGATGTTTCAGAACAAATTTGGACTCTCGTGAATATCACTGCGGGTGTAGAGGGAAGCGTTTTGGTGGCGAGCAGAAACAGGACTGCACAGAAATACTTTTAAACAAAAATTATGGTTTAACCAGTCTACCCCTTTCTCCTTAGTCTTTCTTTTTAAAACGTTCATCAGCATATGCCTCATTTCAAATGCAACAAATGTAAATATACTTTTCCCTGCACAGAATTTTAAGTGAATGTCCAATAGTTTCGAGGGCGGTTTAAGTCAGCCTAACAGATGCAAACAGTCTTGGAGCTGGAGTGGCATCTTTCAGTGCCCTAAAAAGATTTTCCATGGGCAACAAAGAAAACTGTCACACCTTTTCCCATCACCGCTTTAATTTATGCTCAGTCGCCAAGTTTTTTTCATATTGATTTCATAATCACTTTAAGGCAGAACACTTAAAATAAAAAAGAGCCTTGAAAAGGAAGGTCTTACAGGGCCAGGGCCAATATGGTGAAAGTGGGGGAGAGAGCCAGGACTGTAAAGATTGTTTTGTAAAGTGGGGTTTTTATTATGCACCGACTCTCTCCGCATTTACTTAACTCTTCACGGGCTGTTGAATAGGTTAACACCCTTAAAGGCCTCTTTCATGTCCAATACCTCGTTTGTTTGTAGAGGAAAATGCGTCTTTAACACATTTCCACTGGGCAAAGATTTAGGTTTGGTTTGTTGTGTTTTTTTAACCCCAACATAAGGAAAAACCCAAAGAAAACCCAACCCTTTCAAGTCTTTTATCACTCCAATAAAAATATTTATTAAGGAGGGCGAAGATCCCCAAATAACCAGCCTTGTAACAAGAGAATAAAGAAGTGAGATCTCTTCGGACGTGCACCAGAAGCCCTAGGCAGGTTTTTTTGATAGTTCTTCACCCCTCGCTCACACAGGGGTGCCTGTGTGTGTGCGCACACAGATGCATATTCATCCCCACCTATGTGCGGACACACGCATTGTTACAGCACCCTCACGACTCTGTGGAGCCGGCAAAGCCCAATAGGTCATCTGTTGTTTGTGCTCTTTGTCTACTTCTGTGCACACTTTCTAAGTCGGTGTATGCGCGTCCCAAAACACATCTGTGAATTTAGCTGTGTGCCCGAACATAAATATACCCCTAAACATACAAAACCAGAAAAGCATATTTTTAGCTTTGTGCGTGCAACTGTCTAGCGGGAATGCACTTCTCTCAAAAGTACTTGTTTGTCTGTCTATCCTGCTATGTAACTGCCGGTCTAAGTTGCCAGTTCGGGATAAAGTCTTGTTTAAATGGCAATGAAAAGAAAATTATTCTGCGTTTGGTGGGGTAGGGGCAGATGGCAGGATGGAGAGGGGATTTCACTTGGTTTCTCTGAGAGTAACTATGTTTTTCTAGTTCACCTTAACTATTGTTCCTGGGAGAGTCATGTAACAAAGCAAAAGCTGTGTGAACTTTCTGCGGGTTTCTGTGTCTGATTTCTTTCTTTCCTTTCTTTCCTTGTTTCCCCCTCATTACTTAAGAGCTCAGTGGAGGCCCAGTGTGGACTTGTACTCAACGGGCAAGGAGGTGTGATAAGAAGAGGTAAGAGGTTACAAATACTTGCGTCTATCAGTTTTTGTAAACACACATCCCTTTCCATCTCTCCCTGCCTTTCCCTCCCCCACTGTTTGGCGTAGTTTGGATTTACTGCCGAAAAAGTGGTAATTTGCCGTTTGTCAGAAGTAATTTCAAACTCTCTTAGAGCACTTCGTATTTCACAGTCAATTTGCACTTTACAACGATCTGTTCCTCGGTAGCTCTCGGATACTCCCTCTGAATTCAGTTTTCCTGACTCGGTGTAACATTCCGCGTTTAATCGGGATGATCCTTGATAGTTTGAGAAACGTGTTCCCTGGCGCCGGGCTGTTAAATCGGTAGTTTGATCTCGTGTGAGGGGGGAAAAAAGGAGTTTTTTGGGAAACGTGGTTTCAGTGGCGCTACAGACCGGTGTGGAACTCGCTTTTGAGTGTCACTTCATTTGATAACCATCTGTCAGTGTAAATATCGAACATCAAAGTTAGAGGAGAGGTTTGGAACTCGTGTTAAGTACACGTATCTACAGAATTTGCGAAATTTGAATGTCCCGGGAAGTTTGTTATTACCGTCATTTACCCTGAAGAGAAACAACACTCGTCTAAAGGCCTAACGTAGGAACACATTTTCCGTACAAGCTTAAACACATCCTTTCACTCCCGATATAAACCACGTAATGCAGTCTGGGAGAGGACACTTGGCTACTCAGCCTCTCACAATGCTCATTTTCTTGTGCTGTTCTCCCCTTATTCATGATATACAGCAGAAGAAAACCCAGATACTCAGGAGATATTTTGGGTGACGTGATACTTTTGTGTCAGGACACTGCTTTCAGCCGCTTCCCCAGACAAACTTTATTCCCACTGCACCAAAATTGTTTCTTGCAGGAGCACCAGTCCCGCACGCCTGCGGTGGGCGGGGATGGGGAGCGGGCTCTCCAGCCGCTGTCCCGGGGAGGGGGCTTTGCTCGGGGCTCTGTCCCTGCCCGGCTCGGGCCGGAGCCGGGGCTGGGCAGAGCGGCGGAGCAGCGGCGGTGGCGGTGGTGCTGAAGGGACAGCTCCGCTCGGCCGCCGCCCCCCGCCCGGCCCCGCCTCGCAGCCGCGCTCGGGGACCGGCAGCGGGGACACGGCGGGGACGCCAAAGCTGCTGTCCCCTCCCTGGGCACCGCTGGCGGGACGCTGGGGAGAGGGATTGTAAACTCCTGCCCCGCTGGCGCTGCCGGCGCCTGAGCTCGCCCAAGTCCTTGTGTCTCGGATTTCAGCGTATTCTAATTATCCCTAGGAAGAAGGATAATTATCCCTAGGAAGAGGGGTAATTCTTTCGGGTTTCATCCGAGAGCTGACCTCCGAGAAGCGGAGATCGTTAGCTGAAAGAGAGGCAGGCAGAGTCCCCATCAGCTGGGGTCTGTGTCTTTCGTGTTTGACTGCGGATCTCATTTCCCAGTTGAAGGGCGGCTCAAAGCTCAGCTCAACTCCAGTTTATTCAGCTCTGCAGCTCCTCTTAAGGAGACTCCAATTACCTGTGCAGATGATGGTAGTGGTGTCTCTCTCTCCCTCTCTCTCTCTTTTTAAAGAGATCAAATTATTCAAGCATTTAAAGATTGATACTAAAAGAAATCCAGCATGAAAATGCAAGGTCTTCTGAACCCTGATTTAAGTGCTGAACTACTCCTGCACTGCTATCTGTTTCTTGGCATATGCAGGGAAGATATCAAAGGCAAGAGTATAAGTTTCAAATGTATATTAAAAATACATAATAAATATTTTGTCCGACTTCAAAAAAAGCGATAGGTGTTAGCAGTAATCAAAACATCCTGAGCCTAAGAACTATACAGTATCCCGTATAAATAAATCACATCTCTTTTCTAGTAATAGATCAATAAGAATATATTAACTCGAGAGTGGCTTCCCTAATATTTTAAACATCTCGTGTCAGACTTTTTATTTTATTTTTGTCACTAATATATACATGTATTTTGTACAAGGTTGGTTTTGAGTGTTTTAGATGCAGTAGAAGGAGGAAAAGGGGAGAAGGAAGGAAGAGGGTGGTGGGAAGGGAGGGAGGACCTACACACTTCTTTTGAAAATGCCATCCAAGCCCCCTTCCACACCCATCCCTTCCCCATCCCTCGGACATGAAGTGTATGCAGGCTTGGTGTCCTCACCTCCATATATTTGGATTAAAAAGACAACACGGTGACATTTGGCCTGCATCGTTTTATGAAATCGAGATGGCAAACTCCAAAAAAAGCTCTTGTTTCGCTTTGTGATCATCCATCGTTCCTGCCCCAGGCTAATTTCAGAAGCTTAAATACTGCTATCGCCTCTGGGCCATGAAGAGAGAAGGGCCAACCTATCGGCAATAGCTCTTTTTCGATTGCCCTTGGCAACATAAAATACAAACTACTTTGAATCAAAACATTTTTGGGGAATTAATATGATCTGAACTCTGCACGTTTTAAGAGATCTTGAGTTTGTCAAATCGCTTAGAGGTGACTGACATCCGAATGCATTAGTGCCTGGCTAGGAACAACCCTCAGATCTTATTTGACTGGAGAAAAAAAAAAAGGGAAAGAAAAGAAAGAAAGAAAAAATAACCACCCTCTTCTTAAAATCTCAAGCATCAGTCACCATAAAGTCCACCAATAAAATCTGAAGAAAGACGCTCCCCTTTCTCGCCTCTGCCTTTTATGTACTTAGTTGTGGTATCACCTCTCATTTGAAAGGCACTCGCTGAGTCTTGATCCTCTCCCCCATTCTAATTTTAATTTTTGACACTCCAAACTACCGCCTAACGACTCAGTCATTAGGGGTGAGATTTTGGGCAGGAGGTTGGAGGGGGAGGGTGAAGGCCGGGGCTGAGGGCTTTGCACTCGCCCGAGGAGAATCTTCTCCCCTGATGTTCTATGTGGAAACCAAGGGGGAAAAATAGAGTTCTGGATTGTTACCATCTCCCCAGGCATCCCGAATGAAGGAATGGGTACCTGGGACACAGAATCATAGAACCAAAGGATAATTTAGGTTGAAAAGGCCTTCAAGACGTCTTCTTTCACCATGTTCTGGCAAACCGCCTGGAATTCCCTGGCCACTTTTGTCCTCTTCTATTCCCCGGGTATTGCCTAGGAATCCCCACCTGCTCCCAGCACCCCGCCCCAGAGCTCGGCCGTGTCCCTGCAGGTGTCCCAGAGCCCTGCCGTGTCCCTGCAGGTCTCCCAGAGCCCGGCCGTGTCCCTGCAGGTCTCCCAGAGCTCGGCCGTGTCCCTGCAGGTGTCCCAGAGCCCGGCCGTGTCCCTGCAGGTCTCCAGAGCCCGGCCGTGTCCCTGCAGGTCTCCAGAGCCCGGCCGTGTCCCTGCAGCTCTCCCAGCCCTCCCGGCAGCTCCAGGCGCTGGAGCGGGGCTCGGTGCGGATTAGGATCCATCCCTGCGGCTGGACCCTGTCCCTGCGCCCAGCTTTGAGCCCACCGAGGGAAGGGCAGATCACCTCCTTGTCTTCCCTTTGTTGGGCCCTTCCTTCCCTTTTCCCGGCTCTTCTGAACCTTACAAGAGCCTCGGGACTCGTGTAATAGCCCATCATTGTGTTCAGATCTTAACGCGCTGTCATTAGCGCTGTTGTCTTCTTCTTTTCTCTTCTTTTCTTTTCTGTTCTAAGGGCCAATTTAAATCGCATTAAAAATCCTAAATAGCTGGCTTAATTAATGGCTTTCGCGGCTCCAGCTGAGATAATCTCCAGCCGACTAAAGCCAAATCATTCGGCGACTTCCAGCTCGCCAGGAGTTTGGGGCTGGGGAAGGGGCTGGAGGGTTTTGTCGGGCTCTGTCCGGACACCGAGCACTCGGCCGGGCCGGGATGGAGCGGAGCCGGCAGCACCCTCCGCTCCTGGCCGCGGCCAGACCTTGGGTAGAAGTTTGGTGAAGAGATCAGGCTGGGTTTTGAGGGCTTTTTTTGTTTGTTTGTTTGTTTGTTTTCTTGATGGTTTGTTTTATTTTGGTTTGATCCTTCGGCGAGGTTTTGTTTGTCTGTTTGAGGTTTGGTTGTTTTTTGTGGAATTTTTTTTTTTCTTTTTGTCGTTTGTTTGTTTTCCCTGGTGACCTACCAAAGGTGTATTTTCTGGCTGTGGACAGCAGGGTCATGGAAAGTCCCTGGGCTGCGTTCTCCCTGACTTTGGGACTCTGTGCTGCTCCCCATTCCTGCTGGGGTAGAAGTTGTGTATTGTGTCATTTCTATCCCACTTCGTTCCATTTCGAGTTGCGGGGTGTCATGAGCACAGTCCCAGCTCTGTCTGCCTCAGCAGAGATTTTTGGAGCCAGGCACACGCGGGATGTGCACCACGCAGAGCTGTCCCTGGAATCCCACGAACTCAGGCACACACACTGGGAGTGAAGCGTGTAAGAGCACACGACAAGGGGGCACACACCAAGCACGCAACACGTACAGGGCACACACAGAGCCAGCCAGCGGCTCCTGGGACAGATTCCCTTCTCAACTCGCTCTGTCCCACTCATGGGACACCTTGGGCAGAGCCTCAAACCTTCACCACACCTTCAGAACCCACACCACACACAGCCTGCCCGAGCCTTTGTCCTGCAGGAGCCAGCACAGGGACACGGGCACTCTCCAGCTGCGCTCAGCAGTTTTCCCAAGCCAGTGGCACAGAGAGGACCTGGAGAGGCGTTGGGAAGATTCATCTCCCTTGTGAATGGGAAATAGGAATGAAGCAGATGTCTTTTCTTTTGGGTATGGTTTGGATCTTACCCTTCAGCCCAGGAGCTGCAGAAATTCTGCTGTGTCAGTGCTGATATACCTCGATAATGGAGGGCTGGTCCCGGAGGCAGGAGATATTCATACATGTTCATACAATCTTTAAAGCTGGTTTCCTGTAACAAACCCATTTATTCGTAATATTCTTTTTTCCATCTTGCTTCTCCCAAGCTATTTTTTAAACCTTGTTTATGCTTAAAACTCTTAAGTTCTTAATAGCCTTAAAACGTGGTGTGGGTAAGAGGCTTGTGTT